GGCTTGGAAAGCTGACGCTGGGTGAAAAACAGTTTCTGGAGGACTTGAGTAATGGAGAAGACTTCCCTAATTCTACAGATCCGTTTCCAGAAATGGGACTGAACATTGATTTCTCGGATTTAACGGGTCCTCTTTTGATCACTCAAAGAGACTTTAATTTCTGTATGTTGAATGGAAAATGTTTGTATAAATTAGTTGTTCAAGGGTTGAAAAAGAAACATTTAAGTGGAAGAACTGATACGGTTTGGAGAGCCAAGTTTAAAGTCGGAGATAGTCGGAAACCAATCTGGAGAGTTTTTTATAAGGCCCCCTTGAGTAAGAGGGTGGGGGACCTTCAGTGGAGGATTTTGCACGGTGCTATAGGTGTAAACAGTTTTGTAGTTAAATTCAGGAAAGATATGAGTGAGTTATGTCCTTTTTGTGAAGAGATAGAAACCGTTTTTCACATGTTTCTCGAGTGTAAGAGACTCTCACCATTGTTTATGTTATTAGAGAATGTTTTTAAAAAATGTGGTGTTTATTGGTCTGACATAGCTTTTATTTTTGGTGCTGGTTACACTAAAAAGGAGTCGAGCAAGTGGAATTTGTTAAATTTTCTCATTGGACAAGCAAAATTATCCATCTATGTTGATAGGAAAAATAAAGTCAATGGTGGTCAGGGGGAAAGAGTGGATAAGATATTTATTTTGTTGGTAAAAAGTAGAGTAAAAGCAGAATTTATGTTTTTTTCAATGATGAATAACTTAATTGATTTTGTGTTGTTGTGGTGTTTTAATAATGTTGTGTGTTCTGTGGTTGATGAGGAGCTAGTTTTCAGTTCAATATTTGTGTGAAAGATGTATTGAGCTAGGTTAAAATGTATTGTTATTGAAAAATAAATGTGGTGTTAAAAATCAAAATCTTTCTTTCTTTCTTTCTTTCTTTCTTTCTTTCTTTCTTTCTTTCTTTCTTTCTTTCTTTCTTTCTTTCTTTCTTTCTTTCTTTCTTTCTTTCTTGCTTGCTTGCTTGCTTGCTTGCTTGCTTGCTTGCTTTTTCTGTACATTTTCTGCTAACACCTCTCCCTGCTTTTACCATCTACAGTAAATAGAGATAAGCAGCAGTGCATTATGTGTCATACTGGGAATGGGGTTTTGAAATGATAAGTGTGTGAGTTGTAAATGCATACAGTGCTCTGCAAAATATTGGTTCCTCTTAAACCTTTTCAGCTTTTTTCCCTTCATAACAACAAAATCTAGTGTATTTTATTTGTGTTGTTTTAAATAGATCAACAGAAATGTATTTTGCTTCTTTAAAGTAAATTAAAAATTATTAAAAGGCTTTCAAAAATGTTGAAAAAAAAATGTTGTGCAAGGGTTGAGTTTTAGTATCAAGCCCGAAAATAAAATTAGTGGGCATTTTGGAGATGCGTGCTCTTAATACAGATACAGATAGATGCTCCAGTTTTTTAGACTTTTATTTCTATACAGTCATATTTTACTTTCTACAGATCAAAGAAAACCTAATTTAATAAATCAATATTAATAAGTCATTAGTTCAGTTTGAAAAGAATCACAAAAACATATCTAAGGCACAAATGTTCAAGGTCACACTTTAGGGAACTTTTCACATATAGATTTAGCATTTTAAAGTTGAGGTAAGGCAAGTTGTAGATGTTATTGTCGTTGGAGTTCAGGGTTGTTACATCACAACTAATTCAGTTGCCCTTAAAGTAAGGACTAAGGTTTAGGTTAGAGTTCGACCATAGAAAGTGCTGAAAAAGAATAGAAGTCATTTCAAGGTCCTCATTAAGTATTTAAAACATGGATGTGTGTCTTGTGTGCTCGTAACACGCACCTGGTCATATATATTTTTTTTAATTCTTCTTAACACCCATCTCACTGTGAGGCAGGGTTGCCATCAAGAGTCAAAAAAAAAGAAAATCAATGCTATTTATTACATTGCATCGTGTGTGTATGTGTGTTTCAACAGTGCTGTTTATGGTGAGGATCACAGGTATTGATTTTAACTGACACAGACAGAAAAAAGAACCGAGACAAATGAGTAAGAGACTGAAATATAGTGAGACAGGCAGAGAAAGCAAGAGTTTTCCCACTTGCTCTATTTAAATGTCAACCATCAAATAACTGGTTGAAGCCAAAATGAAATGCTATGACCCATTCCACCATTAGCACCCACTAGTCCACACACAGTGCATTAATAATATTTGCTTGGCAGAACATTGCCTTTACAACCTTTGATCTGTTTTAGCATTTTTCAATTTTTCCTCATTTACTGCTGGTGCCATTTTATTGCTAAGATATTTATATTTAAATGATGTAGCAACCCTGACATTATCGTTGGTCTGTGTGTAGTTTCAGCTTTGTGAGGCCTGTGCTTGCCCTTGACAATAAATTCGTATGGGGAGTTTTAAGAGAGGTTAGCACACACACAAAACATCCAAACCTACCTTGCCTCCTGCCCAGATTTAATCTAGATTTTTTTCTTGCAACCTTAAGCGCAGGTGTGTATGTGGACAATAACTAAGTGCAAGAGTGTGTATGGCCAGTTTCAGTGCCAGTTTGTGTGAGTGACAGGTAGATAATGGGTTGTCAAGAGGAAACAACCAGTTTGTGTCCTTGTGTTGTCTTCTCTGAAGAAAGAAGGCCAAGCAAAAAAAAAAGAAGACAAGCCAAGACAAGGAGGATATTTTAGAGAATACTTTTACAGGGAGCTATTTATTATTTAAAAGTTATTGGAAAACTTTAAGTCTTATAGGGGAATTATAGAAGAGGTAGTAAAACAAAAATATTTTGCTATAACAGGTCGATTGTCAATTACCTGATGTATCATATATATCAGTTAGTACCAGGGGTGGTACTTAACCGTAATTGTTTATAGCATTAATTAAAGGATCTCTAATTAAACACAACGAATCACACATTGATTAACTATATATTGAGAACAACCCTTTCAATTCAAAAACCCTTTTTGCTCTTAAGTTAATGAATAATAAACAAATAAGTACAGCAAAACGTATGTCAACAGTATATGAATACTAATTATAGTTCAATTTCTTTTAATATGGTAAATATATATATAGCAACAGGGCCTACAATACTGCCTTTAAGAGTTTAACATTTCCTGTAAACAGAAGTCATTCATTCATTGATCCATTTTCTGTCACACTTATCCCAAGCGGAGTCATGAGGGGTGCCTATCTCTAGCTGTCTACAGGCGAGAGGTGGGTTACACCCTCTCAGGTCTCCAGTCCGTGGCAGGGCAAACAGAATTCAAAATTCTATCATTAATTCTTACAATAAAACCTTAGTAATCATTTGTTCCAGCCCAAGTTATAACTTATTACCTAATTAACTTTACCAGTGATTGGGTGAAGTTGACCAACCTTCCACAAATTGCATCTAGCCTCTGGCAGTTTGGCCGCTGGAAACAATGTCCCCTGTAACCCTCCGTAAAATAAACGGTTTAACCAAGACAGATGAATGAATTACCATGCTGTCAATGCTGTTTTTGCAAGGGAAAAAATCGTACAATCCAAATTTTTTTTATAAATTGCAATAAATACTAATCAGTAATGATAAATAATAGAAATTATACCTGCAGGAGTTTCTTATTACTTTCACCAAGAGGGACGCTGGTTTGATTCCCAGCTTCGTCCATCTCCTTGGACAAGACACAAGATGGTGGTCAGAGGCGCCAATGTACAGGAGCCCTGCTTCTGTCAGTGTGCCTTAGCTCTTAGCTCTGGCTAAATTGCAGCTTGCCACTACCAGTGTGTGGATGTATGTATGAATGGGTGAATGACTGAAAGCCGTGTAAAGAGCTTGGACTTTACACGGAGTCCTTGGACTTATTGAAGGACTATATAATCACAGGCCATTTACCATTGGTTCCGTTTTCCTTTTTTTCTTATAATGTAATACCTTAACCACATTTAATAATAGGTAAAGGGCATCACTAAAGCCAAATGCAATGCTCTTATTCCATTCTTCTTCTAAATAAGGGAATATTATGAAGGAAAACTTTTGAGGGATTTATTTATTTTCTATTAAAGAAATTATAACACTGTTGTTTTCTTTTTTTCTTTTGTAACCCTGTATGCTCAGGGCAACCTTTCCTTTCCATTTTGACATTCCTCTGTGGAAAATAATTTATCATGCATTGTTTGCTGATCAAGTGGCCATTGTTGTCAAAGAGGCAAAGGGTTTTCAGTCGCGTGACTGTCAAAACTAATTATTGTTTCTTGACAACATGAAATCTTTTCTGCTTAGAGAAGTACTTCCCAAACTTAGACTTATTAGTCTTGACAGCTGCTTGCAGTTCCCATTTTAGCTTTCCCAATATACTTAAGTAGTCTCCTAAATTTCAGTTGACCCTTGGTCTTGCATGTAAGGATAACCACAGTCTACAGTCAACCATGTAAATTTAAAGCTTGGCATTCATGAGGGTTAAGTCAACAGACAGGGAACGTTTGGACGTTTGCATTTGTGCTACTTTCTCTAAGTGCATGCATGTGTGTGTGTGTGGGTTAGAATTGGTGGGGTTATTGATCCAGTTAAATGAGCCATTTAAGGTAATTAAAGTCTTGGCCAGTGAGGAAGGAAAGTAGATTATATTGACAATAATAGTCTGAATCCACATAAAGGATGGAAACCAAAGACACGGCTCACATACGATATTGCAGTTGTGAAATTTTTAAATGGCACCAAAGAGAGATGAGTATTTGTGAAAATGTGACTACATCTCCTTTGGGAAATGTTTGCTCTATACTCCTGGTTGTTTTTGGCAAAAGAAATCAATCGCTAATATCTTGCATAGAAATATAAAACCTCCGATGTTTTAAAGTTTTGTTTTAGACATTTAGAATTAAAGGCGCATCTCAATACCTAGATCATGACCATATTTCTTAAATGATATATATCTACTGTATTCTCATATCACAATGTGCTGTTTTATTTTTAAGCTTTTTTGGTTTACCTTTCTTTTTCCCGTCCTTTGTGCAGAGCCAATGCGTACACCCAAGAGGCTGAAGATTGCTGAGACCAGAGCTCGTTTGATTGCGGTGGACTGGGAGTCCTTGGGTTACAACATCACTCGCTGTCACACATTTAATGTCACCATTTGCTACCATTACATGACTGCCAACAACCGCAGCAAAGCCGACTGCTTGGATATGGATCCTAAAGGTAATGCTACAGCAAAAAAAAAAAAACGATGTTCCTGTATCAGTTTTTTCTTCTTTTAAAATGAGAAATCTAGCTATAAAAATATCTACCTAACAATCACTGATTTTATCAGCCATTTGTTTTCAGTGCGGATTAAAGGTAAGAAATGCAGGTTCCAGTAGCCTAGTTTATCAAATATTTCAATGAAAACATGATGTATATATACTGGTGTCATTCTGCATTTGTAAAACAGGGTAATTAGATGAAGCTTTTATGTTCTCTCTAAATAGCCTGGAAGTCTATTGATCTTTATGTTGATTAATCTGACAGAACTCTAATATCCAATTTATCTGAGGATTTATTTCTCAATCAGTTTAAATGCTATGCACATATGCAGTGTGCAATGCTGTATCACACTGTTTTCTGAAATTTACAATATTAGTCTGAGCTGCTTTTCTTTATTCATGGTATTCTATTTTGTGCTGAAAAGTTGTTTACATTTATGATTTCTTTTGAGGCATCTGCAACACAAGAATCCTTGTGATTTCAAGGTCTACTTTAGGTCTTTTCGAGACCTAAAGTACCTGCTGTAAACATGTATTTGCCTCTGACACACAAATAAAACACTGCATTTAAATCTGCACCTTTAAGGTCTGAAAGTAACAATTATATGAGCTAGAAATAGGCTGTTGTTTGACAATGTAATTATTACTTTTCTTTGTTTTTCCTTCTCAGCACCACGTCACCTGGTGGGAAACCTGCCCCCTTACACTAATGTCAGCCTGAAGATGATCCTGACCAATCCAGAGGGAAGGAAGGAGAGTGATGAAACTATCATTCAGACCGATGAAGATGGTAAGAAATAAATGATTGTTGGAATTTACTTTTCTCCATTATGCTCATCTGCATGTCGTTTTCTATGTGTTTTAGTTTGGTCCCAGCTTCCTCGTTTGAAGAGCATGATTTTACTGCTAGTTTTATTAGCATTTACAGATTGTGTCTCTGTGTTTGTGTAACAGTTCCAGGTCATGTTCCCAGTCAGTCACTTAGAGCCACTCCATCTGAAGAGACAATAAGCCTTAGCTGGAAGGAACCCACTGAGCCCAATGGAGTTATAACCCAATATGAGGTAGGATCATTTCTGGGAGCAGTTGAAGGAGCTGAATTAGTAAAACACATTACAGAATTCATATTAAAAACCGTTTTTTGTGTCTCTGAATCTATTCAGATCAGCTACATTGGCGTACGCTCGTTTGACCCTTCAGTGCCTCTTCAGCGGCCGGGAGTGACGGTGTCATTACCTTCAAATGCCACCCATTACACATTTGCCCAGCTCCACCCAGGTGTTACATATCACCTCACTATACGAGCATCAACATCAAAAGGTTTTGGTCCTGCATCCACACTTAATGTGACCACGAATATCTCAGGTACAAGAGAGATTACAAACAGCATAAACATTTTATACACTGTAATTGCAGCATGAGACTTCACTGTTTTCTCTTATAGCCCCTACAATAGATGAGTATGATGTGTCAGAAGCATTTCTTAATGAAACTGCAACAACGATCACTGTCCTGCTCAAACCCGCACAAGCTAAGGGTGCACCTATAAGGTATAATTTTCATAAATGCCATATTTCTTGTTTCTGACATTTGCATATTGAAGAAAACTTGAATTATTATTTTCTTTCGTTCTTTGACTCCAGTGCATACCAGATTGTGGTGGAGGAAGTTAACCCTCAGCGGTCACGTCGACAGGCTTCCTCTGATTGTTACGAGGTAACTGATACACTGTTCTGCATACATTTAATCCTCCAGATGCATTTATCAAATGCTAGTATAGATTATGTTGAAATACATACCAGAAATTTTAATTTGTCCCTCAGATATACTGGTTTAACTTTGTTGAGGAAGATAATTTATTTTGTGACATGTTGCTATTTTTTGCAAATCTTAACAATTTACAATAAAAACAGTTACCATGTTTAAAATTGCTATCCTGTTTATCATGTATCGTTAAGACTTCATGACAAAGCATCCATATAATCCCCAGGTTCCAGTTTCCTACCACAGTGCATCAAGTGGTGGTTCTCCATATTATTATGCTGCCCAGCTTTCCCCCAGCAACCTACCAGAGCCTCTCCCCTTTACTGTTGGAGACAACAAGACATACCAGGCAAGTTTTGTTCAATTTAAAATGAATGAGGTCAATTTTCAACAACGTTAGATAAAAACCATTGAATTTTTAAAGAATGTTGATAAAAAGCGTCAAAAAAATGTAGTTATCATGTCAAATAATAAAGGAGAAGAAATGAAGTTGCAGCATGATTTTTCCAATGTAATTATTTTTTGAGTTGTATTGTTAAATGAGTTTAACTAAAACCCTGTTTTTATATCCTCAGTCACTAAAATGCATTCAAACAGGACTAGTGACAGACAGTTTTAGTGGTTATTTAGTTTCATTTTGACCAAGGAAGAATTCGAGCTAACTGAGGAAGCAGTTAAGATCAGGAACTGATGTCACGCCTGGCACTATGCTGAGCTAAGTAGAGTTTTTAACAAAGGGTGTAAAGCGAGTTCTGATTATGGCGAGCAAACCAAGCTTGACGGATGTTTTTGTAGGTTTCCAGTAGTAGAATAAAGGAGGGTTGAAGAGAGCAGGCTGCATGGATGGTAGATGAAAATTGTCACAATCAATGGTCAAACACCTGGCCTTAACCATCAGATCATTACAGCAGGGTTTAGTTAAAGATCTGGCTTTGGTTGCCTTTATTGTGTATTGATGCTGATTGTGCAATTGATTGCAGCTGGTTGGGTTCTGCTTTAACGTACCTGTACCAATTTTAAATATCTGAGAAAACAAGGAAATGGATTGGGGCAGGGGATAGAGACCAGGCTGCATTGTCCATCCTGCTATATATCCAACACGATTAACATTTAATTTCATCTGTTTGTTTTAGCAAAATATTAAATTACTTAACCATTTATTCCCATCCATTAACTAAAGATAGTCAAACTTAGCTAAAAATTTTTTGTAGCATAAGCCACTTAACAATACAAACTAGTTTACAATTGAGAGAATTTAGTGGTAGTTTTACAGCATGATACAAAAGACATTTATAGCACATAATTTAACATTCTTTCAATAGCACTCTCAAAAAAAAGTGTAAAATTAATGCATTCGGATTTAAAGACTGGTATTTTATAAAAAAAGAAAAAATACTATAAATCGATTTATCTCCTTCCATAAAGGGTTTCTGGAATCCTCCATTGGCTCCAAGGAAGAACTACAACATCTACCTTCAAGCAGTCAGCAGCACTGAAAGGGTAAATACAAATTTGTTAAGGTTGACGCACAATATTTAAGCAGTGAGCTTATGCTCCACACCTGTTAGCTGCTATGATTATATGTATCAAGTTGCAGAGACAGAGATATGCCCTAATAAGCTTAGCTTTAGAAGTTGTGTGTAAGCAAAGACTTGAAATCATTGCTTGGAGCGTAGAATATGAATACAGTACATCCAATAATAGTAAACATTAGACTCTCTTTTGTATGGGGCTGACATATCGTCTTCATGTATTTTTTTCTGTTTTATTTTACAGGAAACTAAAACACAGTGCTTGAGGCTGGCAGCTAAACGTAAGAACACTTTCACTGCTCAAATATCGTGTAAAAAAAACAAGTCTCGTGTTTTTAGCTCACATTTAGCGGTTTTTATGTCGTTAAAGCGTGCAAAGATCCATATCAGCACGTCTTATGATTTTCCGTGTGTGTCTTTGCATATAGTTATTAGTATTGATACAGTACGCTCTGGATAAAAAGCAAATGAGCTGTCGTTTCTATGAGCCTGTCTTTAGTAGTAGTTTTCTTTAGCAACATTTATTTTTATTATTATTGCATTTGAAAGCAATAGAAAAACACATCCACGTTGACGTATTATGTCTGCTTGTGTGTCATTTTAATATTTGTATGCTCATACTCTCCAAATAGCAGATTTTACCAGCAGCCATATGTTGATAGATTATCAGTCAGGTTTTAGATGGCGGAGGGATAATCCCTGAAAAAGCCCACACACATACATGTGCTGTTTTGAAAAAAAAATTAATGGGTCTGATGGATTAACATGCAGCTTTTTAGAGTCAGATGATAGGGAGAAAAAAAACATATTATGTTTTCAATTAAACTGACAAACAGACACCATTGGGTATCACTTAATGATAAATGTGCTATTTATTAAGGTTTTATTTTGTATAGTTTTATACACAGCTGTTAAATATTAATGCCACTCCAATAATATATTTGGTTTCCAGCATATTCCAGATTTATCTTATTTTTAAGGTGAAATCTATAGAATTTGCCTTTGATAAAAGTTTATAAAAGCTTATTTTTCTGACTGATAATATGAAAAAGGATGATTTAATCTAGTGTTTTTGAGGCATGTTTATATTTTATCATACAGCTGCTATGTAGTGAGTATGAATCCTAACTATCTTACCCCCATTAGCTGTCTTTCTGTTTTGTTTTTTGCACTTAGTTGGTTTGACCTTGTAGTGCGGTCGGCTCTCAAAGCTACCCAGTCAGATAAGATTATTTTGAGCCCAGTCAGCCGTTGAAATTAGCCATTACTGCTAATTGTTTAGGTGTATGACAGCTATACTAACCATCCATAATGACTAATTCAATAAATGATGCTTTTCTTTTAAATTCAAAAGACAAATAAATAAATAAATGCAGTGACTACAAAATGTAATAAAAAAAAATAAAATAACATAAAAACTAGATATTTGGAAGTCCAATCATAGTGACCAGGAACTTTAAATGTGTGTCAAAGGTTTGGTTATTTCTCTCTGATGTCTCTAAGGTGTTGTATGAAGTTGAAAGGTGGACTTTCCTGGGTGTTGCTTGTGGCTATAGCTGGCATAACAGGTGCTCCCTGGGACTAAAATCTGCTAAAACAAACTGGCATTCTGTCCTTCTAGCCTGAGGAGGTCTGAGGATAGCTGGAAGACTTTGGAGAGGATGTTTTAAATTGTGGATAATAATAGAGAGGAAGAAATTAATGGGCAAAGAGGTTGGACGAATGTCCCTTCCTTTATCTCTGCATGTGTCTGAGGCGTGCATTCAAGAGGGAGGATTAAGTGATGGTGGTTCTATTAGGTCATCTGGGGTATTGTGTATTGTCATTGCTGCCTCAGGGAGTTGTCTTATGATGTGTGCGCCTGTGTGTGTGTGTGTGTGTGTGTGTGTGTGTGTGTGTGTGTGTGTGTGTGTGTGTGTGTGTGTGTGTGTGTGTGTGCTGACCTGGATCATTTTTACAGACATTAAAAGTCGACATTATGAGGTCAGCCTGTGACGCCTTTCAAGATGTGGATGCTGTCTCATTTAGTTTCTGTTGACTTGACTCCCAGAGGCTTGGCCAAAGTTGTGGAAAGAAATTTATTGACATCTAATTTATTTTGTCAATAAAAAAGACAGCTAGATTAGATATGTACCTGTAAAGTTATTCTTAAAGACAAGCAATATTTGGATAAAAACAAACTTTGAACAAATTGGACTTTTTATTTTTGTATTCATGCAATGCAGAATTTTGATGGGTTAAAAATTACAAAACCATTTTGTAACTTGACTAATATTGAACAAACCCACAACAGCTTATTGCGATAACTATTTGCATTAAGCCAACAACAGGAAAAAATGTTAAACTTAATCTTTTTACAAATTTTTTGCTTGGTTTAGCAATAGAAAAGCACATTCCTCCTTAAAAAATTATTTTAGAAAAGCCATGAAATTAAGCAAACAGGTTTTAGGTAATTTATTACACCAATTTAAGATCTCTAGTATTCACAAAACTAATATTGCAGTTTAGATTATATCTATACTGTATAGAAAATGCCATGGAATGGAAGTAGCAGCAGACAATAATTTGCAGTATATTGTCTTCTTCTATCATAAATTGTGTTTTCCACGTGGAATCATTTGGACATTTAAAAAATGTTTTATCTTTCTTTGTTAGTATCAATAACAACAGATGATATTGTCTGTTTTTTGTTAATAGCCTTGCTAAACTGATATGTTTCAGTTTGCATTGCTGTGATATACAGTCACGTGGCTTAAAGCCAAGTATGACACTATCAAAGAGAAGTCACAATACTTGGATTGAGAGTTAGAGAAAATATGATGAACTGTTTACATTCAACATATAATTCAACTTTGTTAAAAAGAAACTCAAAAGAACTGTAATTAAGTCTCTGACTGGGGATTTGACTTAACACTTACCTGTGTTGACTTGAGGCTTTACTCTGACTTGACAGTCTTTTATTGGGACTTGACTTGAACATAAAGACTTGACACCTACTTTAGACTTGCAAAACAATGACATGTTCCCACCTCTGCTGTAGCGTACATTTTGTGTTCTTTTGCTAACCTACAGCACCGTAGCCTTTATTTGGCAAGCTTAAATGCAGTACTGAAAGCATTACATCTTTGGAATGCAAAATGCACCGCACATAGGCACCATCTCTGCAAAACCAATGTGGATATAAATGTCTGACCAGATATATATTTCAATATCATCACACATTATGTAGACCCAGTTACTGCAACAATGATTATTCACTCACTTCAGCAGGATGAATATTTGGAGTGATGAGATCAGAGGAGTCTAACCGATTTTCGAAATGTTTAAGCAAAAATGCAAGCGAATATCTGCTGTCACCATAAGTTCATCTAGAAGAAGCATGTCCTGCAAAGTCAATGACTTGATGCTGTCAGATGATTTCCCTTAGATAGAAAACGTTTCACCTATCTGACTGTATCATCAGATTGAATTCTTTCTGTAACGTCCCCGGAGATCACATGATGTAAAGTGACAATGTATAAATAAATTGAAACCAAATTGAATTACACTTCATCCCAGTACACACAATAATTACGAAGGATTATAAGGGAAACCTCTACTTTATAGGTATGAGTTTCACTGAATTAGTGTGATTTCTTTGAAACTATCATTTAGACTAAGTGAACTATGCTTTTAGATGTACTAACCTTACGGGAGATGATAAACATTGTGATTGAAACTTTACAAACAATATGGAAAAAGGTGCTTTATTAACCTGTAATGTTACATAATGACATGTTTTACAACCAACATGTACCTAATGATAATGTTACATGTATCTAGCAGATGAAGCAGGATTGGGATTATTTCTATCTTGTTGGCATTTATCCTTCAAAGTAGATTATTGTTTTGTTTTTTTTCACATATGTTTTTGCCTTGGATTATTTGGATTACTATAATGCATAATAATGTTCTTATATGGCAATGAACAGAATTCTGGTTGTACAAAAATAAAATGATAAAGTGGAGCGCATGAGCTTAGAATTAAGCTTCACTTTGTGTCCCTCATGAACCATGTTTAGCCTTGTGCACTCTGTCTGAAACTTCATTGATGAATTATGTTCGATACAATAAAAGTCAGGGAGTTACGTCAATTCTCTAAAGTCATCAAGGACAGAACTGAGTTTGATTTGAGTGTTTCTATGACATTGGTGCTCAAATATTTTATAGTTCCTATTAAATTAGTGTTGAACTAGTGCTTAGAGCAGTGAATTTGTGCTCTGAGAAGGTTGCAAGTAGCTGATTTCGATCCCCACAGCCTGCAGCCTTGGTCTCTGAGCAAGACAGTTAAAGGAGAAGTTCGGTTTTTTACACTTTAAGCCCATTTTCTGTAGTGTCCAGGATGAAATTGAATGATCGACACCAAAAGTTTGACAATTGCTCCTGTCTCTGCTTTTTGGCTAATTTAGAATCAACCCCTGGCTGCTTTAGAATGGCTAGCATAGAGCATGTCCGATAATGTCCTTAAAACAACCTTAAACGTTCTTTTTTTAAAATATGCTACTCACCGTGTCGTCAGCGCTGTTCAATGACGTTCCAAAAAAAGTTTCGTGAAGAAAAAACGTTCCTGTAGTGTTTTATTTAGCATTTTGTAAAACCCATTGAGTTCTGTTGGAATAGTCAATATTCCCCTGCCACCGGAAACGGAAATGGGGCCTGTTTACACAGTTGTAGTCTTTTCGCTTCACTCTGTGTACTCCGACGTCGAGAATCAAGAATCCACCTTTCGTATTCCATTTTCAGAGTTTTTTAAAGTGTTTAACAGAGACGTTAGCACCTCGACGTCGGAGTACACAGAGTGAAGCGAAAAGACTACAACTGTGTAAACAGGCCCCATTTCCGTTTCCGGTGGCAGCGGAATATTGACTATTCCTACAGAACTCAATGGGATTTACAAAATGCTAAATAAAACACTACAGGAACGTTTTTTCTTTACGAAACTTTTTTTGGAACGTCATTGAACAGCGCTGACGACACGGTGAGTAGCATATTTTAAAAAAAGAACGTTTAAGGTTGTTTTAAGGACATTATCGGACATGCTCTATGCTAGCCATTCTAAAGCAGCCAGGGGGGGATTCTGCATGAGCCAAAAAGCAGAGACAGGAGCAATTGTCAAACTTTTGGTGTCGATCATTCGATTTCATCCTGGACACTACAGAAAATGGGCTTAAAGTGTAAAAAACCGAACTTCTCCTTTAACCCCAGACTGCTCCACATGCACCACATAATGGCAGCCCACTGCTCCCCAAGTGGATGGGTTAAATGCAGAAAGTTAATTTCTCCATTGTGAGATCAATAAAGTTCAATTTAATATTTTATTCAAATTATATTTCCAAAGTGTTAACTAATGAAAACCAAATGCCATGGGTACAATAAGATACACACAAAAGGAATGCATAAAACACAAAGTAGATTAAGCTGTTTATTGTCCATATCCTTCTATGCTCTATATTATTTATATCTATGTATGCCTTTAATACATGTTTTTTAAGATTATTCTGCTGAAAAAATATGACATTGAACACAAAAATGATAGCAGGGATCATGGGTTTACATGCAAATGCTTAGTTTATCAAGTTCCAGAAGAGGGTGTGGGGCAGATAAAAACTAAACCTCTACAGCTGTGTGTTTATGTGACTTTACCTAAATGCTGTGCAAAAAAAAGTTAAACTATGCAATTTTCTGTAATTATAATCTGTGTTTTTGGGTGTCTTTGCCAAGAGTCAACTCTGAGTGGCCTGTCATTAGATATTTTACCAAACAATGCAATTCTCTAAATCACAGGAAAGACATTGAAGAATATGTAACACACATATGCATTAAACAGAATATTTTTGTTAAAACAAATACTTGAACATATGCTTTTTTAATGTAGAAATGTTCGCTTTTAAATATTCAAAACAATGCACTTTTCATTTAACTTTAAAAGTCAAAGACTGGCTCTAGGCCTTTTTTGTTGTACTTCTCATTTCATGGCATTTTATATTAGGATTCGTCACACCAAAGGCCAGTTTTCCTGTAAGCCACAGTCCATCTTAAATGTGTGTCTGCCTAAAATTTAAAAAGAAATGGTAAACTTTACATTTGCATTGTGAGATTGTATTAATAGTTCAATGACCTCCATTTATTTCTTTACATTATACCTATTTTGAATGCAAAGCTTTTATCTTCGACACACTTCAAATGTACGTTTTAAGATTATGACTACTCCACCGATTTATTCACCAGTTTCCAAGGGAACATTTATTTCCCACATTTCATTTGAAAAGAATGTATTTTTAAATTAAGGCTGTTTTTCTCCTCAAATACATTTTTTTGATCGGAATAATTAAATATCTTTACCTTGAATAAAATAATATGTGTTATATGTTTACTCCAGGAATGACAATTTAGACTATTATTTAAACATATCTGATATTTCTCTACAATGGATTCATTAAAGCTCAGTTTTGCCTGATCTGAGCCTAGGTATGATCAATACCTCCTATATTTAAATACTGAATCTGTTGATTCATTTTCCCTGCTTTCCCGATTTTGGGTTTTTGTAAAGATAAACCTAAGAAAAACAAAGATTATTCATAGGATTGTGGGATGACGTCCTTTGACAGCATGAGAAGACTGGATGTGTAAATAGTTAAAAATAGTGTCAGGATTCGTTCTTCATTTTTTAACCAGCCCACAGCCAGAGCATAAAACATAGATAGGTATACAGAGGATGGATGTATTTTTTGTTTTTGTTTTTACACGTTCCAGATTTTATATATTTTATTTATCTTTCGATGGAAGTTTGATTCTTTATCTTTAAAATTTGATATATAAGCTAAGGCTCATGATAATTTCTGCCATTTTCGTATATATTTATTTATTTCAGCAACTGACGAAAATGTAACTTTTACTAGATGCGACAGAGGAACCTGAAGTCATCCCGGACCCTGCCAAACAGACAGACCGAGTGGTGAAAATAGCTGGAATAAGTGCTGGTGTTCTTGTCTTCATTCTGCTGGTGCTGGTGGCCATCCTGCTGGTCAAGAAAAGGTGAGTTGTGGCGCCTCTTGTTTCATCCATGAAAGCGGATCTGATGAATTCTTTTTCCCTGGGTATGGTAAACATTAACCACCACTACTGAAAGAGCACAGCAGCACACATGCAAATGCAAGAACACACAGACACAGTTGTTCAGCAGAGTCCCTTCTCTTGTTGATTGTTGTTCCAATAAATGTTGTAGTGGCACCATCTCTCATCCATTCATCACAACTATTGATCTCCCCCCAGAAACAGCTTTTATTTCTGATGGTTCTTTAAAGGCAAACAAAGGTTAGAGATTTGTTTTTCAAAGTTTATGTGAAAACGAGTAGTTTTTCAAATGTAATATATAAATTGCCTCTTGCAGATTTCTAGTCAAATTAAACACAAAGCTAATGACATAAAGGATTTGTAATAAAGATAAGATTAGCTGAAGATATTTATTGAAAAAGGAAAAATAAAAGTAAAGCTGAACAAATTCTCATAGCTGCCATTCTAAATTCAATAGCTTCTTGCAGAGTTTGAGTCAGTGAAGCTCCGGCCAGTTGTGCATAAAGAAGTAGAGCTTGGCCTTACAGACTGATGTAAGGAAAAACCTGAAATCTTAAAAAGTAGGTTTCAAAAGAAAACAGAATATCAGCATTTTTTTTACTTGTTGTCATTTCTTAACTGATATTATCTTGTTCCTGGTCGAGCAATCAAGCTTGAATTTTATAAATTGAGTGCAGAGCTCCACCATGTGGTGGCTGGACACAGGTACAGGAGAGCTGGTATTTTCACTTAGAGCTTCTTCATTTAGATAATCAGATTTTAATCATGTGACTGTCATACTGATTTTAAACTAGAACAGATTTCATTTGCATCCATTTTTTTTCTCACTGAATAAAAACAAACTGAATTTATATAAGACCTGTTGATGACCAAAAATACCAAAAACAATTATGGTTTGTTTTTGAACATCCGCTTCCAGTAAGACAGGCATGTACCTTAAAATACCATCCATCAATAGAGTAAAAACATAAAAAATTACCCAAAGATATCCTCAAAACCTATTATTGAGAGAGGAAGGAGTTACTTTAAAAAGCAACATGCTGCTGAACTCTGTTTTGCAGGCCAAAAATTTCGTTGTTGAATTTGTTTGATAAGTAGCTCTCTGGTTTACAATACTTTGCCTTGCTCATCTGCCTTTTTTTTTTTATTAGAATACATGTGCAAATGTTTACGCGAAGAAAAAAAAAGCCACTGATCTTTTCATCAAAATCCTGCCTTTTTCCATGTTCAATACAACGCATTTGAAAAGCTGCTGTATATATTTGCCATATTCATTGAGAAGAACCTTTGCAGTGTTCTCTCTGTCATCCCCACTGTAACACTTTTCAGGAGTCTTTACAGAGCATCCAGGAATAGCTCCTCTCAATTATTGCTAATCATGATCTCACTCAGGAAATCAGAAACAATTAGACACTGAAACATGGAGCATAATGAACTCTCATCATTAGAGAACTTTCCTCTTGCAACCCAAGCCCTCTTATTTTTATTCTAATTTGCTTAATGAATTTATGTGAGCCAGCTGTCATGCAGCAGCTTCAGTTTGAAAATGTAATGTCAAATCAGCACTTGTGGTGTTGAGCTTAAAAACATAGCACAGGTTTAAGTTTGGAGTATGTTACTTCATAAAGACACTGTTTATCGTCTTTACTATAAATGGGCATATTTTAAATGCAGGAAACTTTGGGGGAGTTTCTGTTGAGTATCGATAATATTTGTGACCAAATATGTAATTTTGTGTCCATCTTATAAAACATGCAGTTAAGATATGCAGTCATTTGCCTGTTTTAACATTAAGCTTGTATTAACTTACATATATTTTGTTCTGACTGATAAGACCATGGGGCTGTGTCTAACAATAAGCAGTGATCTGTGACAGTAAAGAATAATCCGCTCTGTTTACAAAGTGTAAGCAGTCCTTATTTGCCCTGGGACCTTTTTGCACTGGGGCCGTTTCTGGGGAGATCAATCTTGATTGTCATAAAACCTCTACTACAACGCTGAGCAATACTGCATCTTTAAAATAGTGGGACATGATGACATTGCAGTGACATCATGCTTGTTTTACAGGAAACGAGCTGCCTGGTGTTAGTGATTGGATAGGTTTGCATCAACATTGACCAAACATTTATAGGAATTGAAATTAAAAGGTCATTGGCTGATGAAGAATAAATATTTTATTAAGGTTATAAAGTCCAGTTATTTTAGAACAGCTCAGAAAATTGCATGTTTGTTTTTAAATTTCTATTTTTTTTATAGAAAATTGAAAAGGTTGCATGTTGATAGGTTGATATTGATAGTTTCCTGTTCTGGCTGCTTTTTGGGTCTTATAGCTTGTTATAGCACTGAACTCTAGTTTACGTTCGTTTTAGTTTTAGTTTATGTTTTAATGTGGCTTAGCTGTAAGGTCTCTCCAATGCATGAATATTGGGTTTTAGAAGTGGAAGGGTGTTTTTTTGTGCTTCTGTTGTCACTGGTTGAGACAGGACAGAATTGTCCTAATTTGCATATTCCCTTGTGTCTCATTTGTTTTGTTTTTTTGCTTTCTGATTGGCTCAACCCCAGGAGGACCTACTATTCATACTCTTATTACCTGTAAGTAAACAACCAATAAACAACCAGCTCACCCAGCTGCTCCTATCTTGCTGGGTGGCTTGTTTTAGTGGCTAGTTGTTATTTTTAAAGATGCAGTATACTTTTTTCAAGATAAAACACGTTACCAACCAGCCAAAGCCATCCTCATTGACGCCTTGCCAGGGTGGGGGTCAGTTCGCTTTCATGCCAGTCATTTCAGATTTCAGCTTTTTTTTTTTGATTTTTTTTTTTTTTTTTTTTTTTTTAGAGAATGTTGATTTAAAAATGGAAATATAATCATCTGAATGTTGAATTATTTGGTAAGAAAGAATGTATAAAATGGACTTTAATGATAGAGAATTGACCTTGGCCCTGGTATCCTCTACATGCTCCAAAGTTGCTCCTAAGCAGGCTTAAAGTCAGCGATAAACCGGGAACACACCGGCCTCAGAGTGTTAATTGAAAAAAGAATGCTGCACTTGTGACTGGTAGCTCTTTGTGTGCATGTAGTCATGTGATCATCCATCAGACCATCAAGTCACAGGTATCTCGATAGAACCTCTCCTCGTGCCTCTTGCCACTGGATTTTTTCAAACTAGCTTCCTCTATGGGACATTGGGACTGTATCAGTGGCTCTTATGGCTCTGTTTCTTTGTTGTGGGTTCTTTGCTCTTTGCTTTTCATTGTTGATCACCTGCTGTGACCCAAATGGATCCAGAATCATTCATTTGTGAAAAAAAAACTTTAAAGCAGATGGCAATATAACAAGAGAACAAAGACAGTTTCAACCTGTGTAATCACAACAAATACAGTAACATCATTATTATTATTTCCATGAATAACTATAAATCTTTCAAGTTTTTTATACTGGTATATACATGGTTAATTACAAACGGTGTGTAAATGTAATACTTGATAAAGAAAATTGACTTGAAATTATATTTTATTTTATAATCTAGGCAATATGAAATATAGAAATCTAAACTGATCAACTGTTTACTGAAAACACATAATCAAGTTTGTTTGTTTACACAGTAAAATATAACCACCGCTTCCTTCTTGTATGCAAGTGTCCGTATGAGTTTATTAGTGATACAAACAGTCGCCTCTGGATATTATTATAATTCAAACATCTGCTGAGTTTCCAAGTGTCTGCTTGTGATCTTAGAGGGGGACTTGGTGCATTTGGTCCAGAGGTAAAATATGTACCGCTGGCATGCTTTTTGTTGGGGTTTTTACTGGGGAAGGGAGTTTATTGCATCAGTTGGACAACAGTCACAAATGGAGATTTTTGTTTTCACTGAAGAACAACAGCCTTAATTCAAAACCCTTAACAGACTCTTTATCCAACAAAACACATAATATATGGGCTACACTTTAATTTGGTACCTCCTTATCTTTTTTTTTTTAATAAACACAATTTTTCATTCTCTGAATGAGGCCCTGATCAATCTTTTTTATTTAAATCAGATTTTAGTAACAACCTGGTTGGAGGAGAACCACTGCTTTCAGTGCTAGGCTGCAAAATTTGATAATGGCTGAAAGCTTAAAAGATCGCAATTTAATTGCAGAAAATTAATAACACATCCAATTTTTGTATTACTACTGTACTCTATCTGCACTATAGAAGATTGCCTAAAATTATTATTCCTTTTATGTTTAAAAAATACTTTAAAAAGGAATTATGACACGTTTCGATAATTGTTAATTGTTTTTTTTCATAAACCACCTGATTTGAAGTTAACATCTTACCATTTTGCTGTAAGACAAGGAACTTTTCTTGAACATATGACGTTTGTTCATTTGCTCAACTGTTGTTTTGACTGATGCATGCATGGCTCGTAAAAAACATAAGGGTCCTGCATGCTCTGACATGCTCAACATGAAGTCTCTTATAAGGGTGTGCAAAATAATCGTCAAATCGATGAATCGTGATTCTAATTTTTGTGATCTACTGAATCGATTCTTGAAGGCAAGAATCGATTATAAAAAAAAAAAAAAATGAACAAATAAAATACATTAATGGTTGGCGCACATCAATCAAACCAAGTGGAATACAACTTCCAGTCCAGCAGATGTCGCTGCGGATGTGTTGACGCCTGCTGCTTTGTGTCATAAGCATGTCCGGACTGATTATCCTCATTTTGTTATTTTAAGTTTGATGAATCCTAAGATCTTTTTGTTGGTGTGTCCATGCCAGTAATAGTAATATTTCTGTCCAGTATTTGTTTTCATTGCAACACCTCCAAAAGTAATTTCAATAAATACAGCTATGTATGAATTCAGTTGCTTTCAGTTATGTATCAATTGAAGACACTATCCAGATCACACCCAGCCAGTCAGCCACTGGTAAGGGCTGTATCTTTTTCTTACAGTGTTCAGTGAAAATATCACAATGCATCGCAATATTTCAAGTATCGTGATGCATCGTGATAGAATCGCATCGTGGCATGTGAATCGTGATTCGAATCGAATCGTGACTTCTTTGCCAATACCCACCCCTAGTCTCTTATGATAGTCATACCCTTTTTTTCAGTGGTGCCTTAGTGTTTTAGTTCTAAGCTATCGTTTATGTCCTGCTGGAGTCTTTTGTTGTTGTCTTACGTTAAAAACAAACAAAAGGCTATAGACAAATTTGAGACTAAAAACTGGAACAATTATATATATAAGAAGAAATGTCAGAATTTCTAATACTGAAATCTTATAACAACATAGTGGTACATATCTTTGTATTATTATATATTAAACTACAGATGTCATTCTATTTCATTGATTTCTAACGCTCTGTTGAAGGTTGTTTATTTTTTTGTCTTGGTTTGTACTTCAGTCATTCAAAGAAAGCAGATCATGTGGATATCATTAACTTCCATTAACTTATTTATCATGTTGATTTTTAAATTAGGGAGCCTATTAACACCCAATTTGATAATAGGTTTTAATAACAGGGCTTTTTGGATAATGGGGATTTTTCCTGGTTTGCATAAGAGGCTCTTTCCCAGTGCTCCTATTTCTGGGCCTTTTATATGACTCCTACTGTCCTTGCTTGTACTCTCCTCTTATTTCTTGCCTATCTTCTGCACCCCACTTCTCTGCTTATTTCCCTTCAGCATTGGCTCTGGACTCTGCATCTTGGATTAACAGCCAGCAAGCAGCCCCTTATAAAATTTTGAGAATAATAATAATAATTTTATAAAGTTAAAGCTATAACATCCTTTCCAAGTTTTGGGTCTGCAGAAACATTACAGCTCTGTAGTTGTTTGCAATGTTTGACAGTGTGTTATTTTGTGCTTCAAACAGGAAGCTGGCTAAAAAACGAAAGGATGCCATCGGAACAGCAAGGCAGGAAATGACACACATGGTGAATGCAATGGACCGCAGCTATGCTGATCAGAGCACTCTGCATGGAGAGGACCCAATGGCTGTGACATTCATGGACTCCCACAACTACAACAACAGATGTAGGTTTTTAATCTCACACCACATCTCCATGGGACAATTATGGGTTTCATTTATCTAGCTCTTCATCTAGCTAATTTTTCCTTCCCCAAAACAGAAAACTACTACTAAAATAGAAAATGCATCTTAAGAATATACAGCTTAATAAATTACAACCCTATATTATTTCTTAGAATGATTTTATTCAGAATCTGAAATCCAATTTTATATAGATGAAATGCATCAGAGTGTTGATTTCTAAACATCTGATGTAAACCCAGAATTTAGAGTTAAAGATAATAACAGTAAGAATAATTCTAAAGAATCCCATACAGAAATTACAGCAAGCTGAAAAGTTTGTATGTGCACTAAACTTTATGTAGACTAAGTACTTGGTTCATGCTCCTATTGCATGAATAGTTGCACCACCAGAATTTCCCCATTGTGGGACAATAAAGGGATTTTCTATTCTAACAAGGCACTTGGAATGGAGGCAATCAGCCAGTAGCGCTGTAGAAGTTTTAAGTAAACCCCTGTTGCATAATAGAGACTGTTGTGTCTCTCATATTGTGTTTGACAAAACTACATTGATTTTTTTTTGGTTCAGGCAAAAGAAAGGCAAGGCAAGCACATTAATACCATGGTAATGAAAGCAGCTATTGGTGATTTTGGCTACCTTAGCAGGTACAAGTCTTGCTGTAACATAAAATGTGTTTGTCATGTAATAATTAGCATCTCCAAGAAAAAGATTTCTAGTGTTTCATTAGGAGCAATGTTCCCTCTAATTTTTAATGTGTTTTGGCAGACATACAATCCCCCTTAGTACTATGAGGACCACTGTGGGCAACATCAGATATGCATGCTGAGGCCAAACTTAAAATGAACCTAAGCTTGTGATTTTGGTCATAAATTCCTGTAACTCTTTAATTATGTGTTTTGTCTGAGTTTCCATGTATATATAATAGTTAAAGTATTTCATGACTAATATCCATAATCCTAGAATATGAACAAATCTTTCACAATCAGTACTAGATGCTTGAAATGTAGCACAAACATCTACCAGCTGCGGGATCTCCTTTAGCTCCTCCTCTAAGTTCTGCATCCACCATATCGGAGAATGTGCTGATTGATCCATGTTTACTTTCTTGCTTCATCATGTAGCCTAGTAGAATTCAGCCAATAAAAAAGTTTCACTGTGCTGTAATCAGGTGCATCTTATAATGTGTTCATGTTGGATAGCAGTGCTGTTACGAACTGGAACTAAGAACCTTAGCTGAACTTTTTTAAAGGGCACTGAAGTTTTATACATATTCATCCAAATAAAACTCTTAAATGCATTTTTTTTTATGTTAAAAACCGATTTTATATTTGAAACTGGCATTGAATTGTAGCTGGATCATGTGCAAGAACAGCTACATTTAGTTTATTTAATAAAGGCTTGCACATCCAGCATCCAGCAGCCTGAGATGGTACAAGATCCCTAACAAAATAAAATACAGATGAATGTATTACCTGTTCATTTATTGTTAATATTATATTTAGGGGTGTGCAGGTGGCGCATTTGTTTGTGCGCAAGACCCATGTACGGAGGCCTTAGTCCTCGACACAGCCTCAGGTTTGAATCCGACCTGTGGTCCTTTGCCGCTTGTCTCTCCCCCTCTCTCATACCCCCTTTCCTGTCAGCCTACTGTCAGAAAAAAATCAGGCCACTAGTGCCGTAAAAGCTTAAAAAAACAAAAACAAATTATATTTAATCAGATTTAATTCATTTAATCTAATTCAGCTTTGTTGTTTTGTATTTTCATTGTTGGTTTTAGTTGTAAAACGAATGATACACGGATTCAACATGATACAGACAAAAAATTTATGTTGGATTTTATTGTTTGTGCTCCATAGATCAGTTTGTGTGCTGAGAATGCGTGAGCAGTGCACAATTATTTGAGATTATTATGAATAAGTTAATTAAAAATAAAATCAAATACTAAAATAGTTTTTTTTTTCCAATTGTATGCGAGGTCTCAGTAACTTTTTTCAGTCATCTACTGTAACTAAGCAGCGCTTGACTCAAAATCAAAAAGAAACTTCTTCCCAGACTGATTAAAAATCAGACATTTTAAATTACTCTTACACCTTGTTTCCTTCCTCAGTGCCCAACGATCCTCTGGTTCCCACTGCAGTGTTAGGTGAGACTTCTGGACTTAATGGGAATGTGTCCCAGTTATCACCAACGTTTACCCTTTTAAAATCCACAGCCATTTCATCTCCCCTTCGTGCTTGTTCCCCTTCCTGTCTTTGTGCAGCATTAATTAACTGTTGGACATATTTAAATTCTTTTATCATTATTGTACCATTTTTCCATCTGTAACAGCCATATACACAACATTGTTGTCAAAGTTACAGTACTATGACATATCAAAGAAAAAATGAGCTGTGAAGTTAATTTTATGCACACACACAACACATCATTCAGTGTTCATTTTCAGTCACTTTTAGCTCCAACCGTGGTTTCTTTTCCCCGCCGAGAGTTATTACTATTCATAGTAATTACCAGCTATCTTGCTTGGAAATCTTTTTAATTCTACATAAAAGACCAGTTTTTATGCAAGAAAGAGCAGAAATTCATCACACTGCAGTAAAAGAAATTACAGAAGATTAAATCAGTGACATCTCTGCGTCTTTGTCTGGAACTTTTCCTCTCTGCGAATTTAGAGTTATGAGCGGTTTCCATACTTGTAGCTCACATTCTGTCGCCAGTGGCCTGTCTGAAATCTTTAAATTCTAAAGGCACTCAAGTTTCTGCCAATTTGGGTGTTGCTGCTTCTTTGGTGATGCACTACAACACGCGTGTTAGTGTAGAGTTGACACTGCCACTTGATTTGCAGTTCTAACATAACCTTAAGGCTTGTACAACCACAGTGCCACCAAACTGTTAATTAACTGGTCCATCGCCTCTAATGTGGAGTGAAGGCCACAGTTTCAATCTGTCTTAGCCAATCACTTCACAGCAGAGAATGAAGTTGCAGGAAGTAGTGAATTAAGACACACTGTCAGGTCAAGTTTACTGCAAAGTGGCCTGACAAGAGCTAAATAAACCTTTAAAAGTCAGTAATGAGCCAACATGTCCTCAGAGCAGAGAAAAGCATCAGTTGGATGAAATAAACAGTGTCAGTTTATAAACAGATGTGAGTCAGTCAGATGTGCTGCAACATCTTGCTAAATTATTAGAAAGCATGTAAAGCCATTATACCCTAAATTTTAACTCCTTATTTTTTGTTCCAGCCAGAACATTTTACCAAAAAACCACAATGTGCAACTGAATTTTAAAAAATATAGACAAATATATATTATACCCACATACGTCAGCTATTTAGAAAATGTAATTTTCAGTGATGATAAATGCATTTATTATAACTCTTATTCTTTTAAAAGCCAGATCAGACTGGTTCTGTAAATAAACTAACCTTTAAAAATTGATTTACTGTCAGTGAAGTTGAGAGGTGACCATAAAACAGCCCATTTCCACTGGGTGGCACTGTAGTGGCGTTCCAGAAATTTTTATTTGTCGTTTTCTTCCTGTTCATGTAATCATTAGTGACCCAGGTTAATTTTGCATGTTCTGTTTTTCATTTTTAATCATGTATATTTTTCTATATCATCCATTGTGCAACTATCTAAGAGATTCTTGTAAATAGTTTTACATTTGATCTAAATGATTAGGAAATTCTGAATAAACTCTGTTGCTCTTTTTTCTTCTATGCTGCATTTACATATAGTTCCAATCACAGGTGAGTAGATAAGAAAACGAAAAAAGCCATGCCTTGTTTCTTGTTTAGTTTTAACAAATTGCTTGTTGGGTTAGTTACATCAAAAAAGCCCTCTTGAAGGTTTTCCATTTTAATCCTTAATTCTGTTGATTTCTTTTGAGAGATCACTGTTTTTCTTTGTTATTTTACTTTATTATATTACATGGACACCTTAAAACAACTGATTGTACCTCAAAAATGAAAAACAAAACAATACACCTAGGAATAATATTGTGGAAGTTGTAAAGGCTATATATTTGATTAATTAAATCCTAACTTTCTCTGACATTTCTTGATGCTTTCTCTCCTCTTGCAGATGAAAACCACAGTGCCTCTGCAGCAGAGAACAGCCGGCTGCTGGATGTTCCTCGCTATCACTGTGAAGGGACAGAGTCTCCTTATCAGACAGGACAGCTGCACCCTGCCATTAGAGTGGCTGACCTTCTGCAGCACATCAACCTCATGAAAACATCAGACAGCTACGGCTTCAAGGAAGAATATGAAGTAATGTGTCAACTACTCAGTCCAAGACCTGCAAAGAATGCCGTGTTTTTATTAAAAATCACTGTTACATTTATGAAGAACATGAAGGATTCCCTGTATTGTTTAATATGCTGTATTTTTATCCAATTGATTGTATTTAAGGATTTAAAGCATAACTTTTGCCTTTTTGCTGTTTGTGACACAGAGCTTCTTTGAGGGCCAGTCAGCCACCTGGGATGTGGCAAAGAAAGAGCAGAATCGCACCAAAAATCGTTATGGGAACATTATAGCTTGTAAGCATCCAATATTCTTGCTTTTTGTGAATTCAAACTACAAATTTGTAAGAATGAAAGTTTGCACCGTTGAGAAAAACAAGAATGTTTTTGTTTTTCTACACTTGAGTTAGAAAAGCCCATAATGACCACATTTCTACATCATTTGCAAACTTTTGAACAGAAATAGCAAAAAACACAAATCTAATCTACTCTTTTTATTTTGTAATCTTTTATTGTTGCAAGACTTAAATTTTAAGAATTTACTTAAATGTTTTTTCTTTTATTTTCTCTCTCTAGATGATCATTCAAGGGTTATTCTTCAGCCCATAGAGGACGACCCATCCTCCGACTACATCAACGCCAACTACATCGATGTAAGTGGAAACACATCGAATGCTACTATTGGCTCCCAACGAAACCAACGAAACCACACCCCCTCGCTCGTATGTCAGGCCTATATACCTTTATTGCGTCTCTCAGTCATCCATCAAAGCATTTTATGCATCCAGCATAAATCACCCCGCACATGCAGTTCTCGTATGTTTTAAAGATGTTTGTTCTTCTGTCTTATTTAAAGATTAGTTCATCCATCAAAACACAATTTCTATATCTGAATTATTTCTATATTTTCTTACCTACATACAATGCAAAAATCTGTTTAACATTGTTTGGATGTTGAACCCACTGGTCCACAGATGAATGTTAACACCTGTCTACACCATATTGGTCTAAATGTTGAGAGGTGTTGTACCATTGCTGGTTTTAAAAGAATCTGGTATAAACTGATCATTGAATTACATTTAATAATTTTCTCATGCCCAGACTTTTCAAAAGAGTCTTTTGTGAGCTTAAGACGTAAATATTGATATTACTGCTTAATAAATTGGAAAAATCCAGGTTTTATGTTTTCAATTTTAAATCTTTGACCTTTCCAAAACTAACAAAATGCTACTAGCTAACAGATGCTTAATTATTCATACCTCATCAAAACATGAAAACCTCTTTCAGTATCATTATACTCCAAGTATTTACAGATGAACTTGCATCATCGTTATCCAGTTTAGTTTGATTCATCCGCTGATCCATTTCCCTGTTGCTTGGTAGCATGATTAATATAGATTTAATTATTTTCATCTCTTAGCTCCTTTCTTCAGCTCTTGCCTTTACACATGTGCATGTTCTCATGTCATGCTTTCATAATGTTTACAGCATGCTTTATAATTTAACACCATTTCGCTGCATGCTATTGCTCACTTAAAACATTATAGTTTGAATAGAAAGGACACTTGACAGAATTTCCAATCTAACTAAAGCTGTTGCAGTGTCTTTTCTATTTAGTCTACTTTGCACAGTTTGACCATTATTTTGCATGTTTATGGTCAGTCTTCCATTATGTCAGTGCAGCTTCTCTTTTTTTTCTTCTGATTGACACTCACTGACATTGTTGTGCTTTCTTTCTTTCTTTCCTTCCTCTACTTGTTCTTTCTGCCTGTGGCTTGGGCTGTAGATTTGGCTGTACAGGGATGTAAGTATCACTGTAGATTACTTCATTCACGCCCCTCAATTTTTCCACACCAATCCAGCTACATTTCATGCATACACCTGTCCTGATGTGCATCGAGTGACGATGCACATCCTCGAGTCACTGGAGCCTCTGCTGCATGAAAGATTTCACTTCACTTTGCCCTTTCATTATTCTTCAGAGCTTATTTTATGCTAGAACTTTGTGCATAAGTTTTTGATGTCTTGGCTGATACTTTTCTTTGGTCTCAGGGTTGCATTAAAAACTAAATTTGATCGTAACAACGTAGTAATGTTGCAAGTTTTCAAAAAGTGAATGAGAAGTGAAATAAATAATACAAAGAGGACGTTAAGAAAGAAATAAAAATACTCAAAATGATGCACGGTTAAGAATTAAAACCAATCAGAAGTCTTCACAAGAAGTTAAAAATGTCTCTTTTTACTATTCTAGCCTGGTGGAGAATAATCCACATTTTTGATTCTGACACTGATGTTGTGTTTTCAGGGGTATCAAAGACCAAGCCACTACATAGCTACTCAAGGTAAGATAGATTAAATCTTTAGCATACATATCGTATTTATTTTATTTATAAGGCTAATACTTTTATTTCTTACTATTTTTGAACAATAAAGCTAATTTTTTATTTTATCCTGTCGTATCTGGGCGTAGGTCCTGTTCATGAGACGGTCTATGATTTCTGGAGGATGGTGTGGCAGGAACAGTCAGCTTGCATTGTCATGGTAACCAATCTGGTTGAAGTTGGAAGGGTAAGTTGTTCCCTAGGTTTGTTTTTTCAGCTGTGTCGATAGTTAAAACTAAAATAAAAATCCATCTTAAGCTAATTTTTCAATTCTGAATTGAAATCTATTCCGTGGGAAGTTTTTTTTCTGATCTAATCCAAATAATGTATCTGTGACTACAATAGTATTTTTTGTCTTAATATAATCTTGCCATTTGAATTTTCCAGGTAAAGTGTTATAAGTACTGGCCAGATGATGCTGAGGTCTACGGGGACTTTAAGGTGACTTTTGTTGAAGTGGAACCTCTGGCTGAATATGTGGTCCGCACATTTACACTGGAGAGGGTGAGTTATGTTTTAATTACCTCATTACAGTTTTTAATTGTTGCTGTGTTGCATATACAGTTATGTTAAAATGTGAAAGAACAAGAATGCTTATGAGGGCCAATGCAGGATTACTCAAACAATGAGAGCAACACGTTTTATAAAAGAATTACTGGAAATTTTGTTTGCAAGGTAAATACTTTTCTGTTTCCTGTCTGTTCTGTGAACTATATACTGACAAAACCATTTGATTTCATTTAGCGTGGTTTCAATGAGGTGCGAGAGGTCAAGCAATTCCACTTCACTGGCTGGCCTGACCATGGCGTTCCATATCACGCCACTGGACTACTTTCTTTCATCCGTCGAGTCAAAATGTCCAACCCTCCGTCCGCTGGGCCAATAGTTGTTCACTGCAGGTATGAATATCCACTTAGATATTGCATCCTAAAAATGTTATTCATGGTACAATTAGTGGCAACTGTGGTAAAGTTTGTTAAATAAATGCAAATATTATTGAAGTAAAATAGTCTGATAAGGTAGATTTTTTGAAATATCTGTAATTCAGTTTTACTGCATCTTGAGAAAAAAAATCCCACATTCAGATTCTCAGATTACTGATGGGATATATTGTTGGTACTCATATAAAACTCTTTTGATAGGGGCAACAACAGATCTCTCCAAATAATCTATCATAAGCATATTTTATTTGCAGGACTTCATTTGAGCAAAATAGACATTCATGCTTAACTGTTATGAGATTAGCAAGTAAAGAATAAAATTCCAGGGTCATTTGACAAAGGATCATAGAGATATAGATGATTATTGGTTTGGAAACTTAAAATATGTATCTTTTTATGAATCCGTCTGCAGTGCTGGAGCAGGACGCACAGGCTGCTTCATTGTGATTGACATCATGTTGGACATGGCAGAGAGAGAAGGAGTCGTCGACATCTACAACTGTGTAAAAGCTCTCCGCTCCAGGAGGATCAACATGGTACAGACTGAGGTGACTGCATTACCCATCCTCCATCTGCATCCGCCTTGTTAGATAAGACAAAGGAAAACTATCACCTTCAGACTTAGCCATCAGCATGGTAGATGTCTAAGCTGTAGATAGTTATCTAACATAATTCATGTGTCACGTCATCACTGTTCAAACAGAATTTTTGTTTAAACGTATGATAACTGGGAAAAAGTGTCACAAAAGATGCCTGGAATAAAGATTTTCCTTTAATCCACACATCAAATACACTTTTTTTAGTATAAGCCTATTTCTGTTTAACATTTATATTTTTTGAAGAGTGCAACACAGTTTAAAATATAAGTATACATAGAAACTAATCATAAGGCAAGATACACCACCTCATAATTTCATTTCATCTCATCTATCCATCCATTTTTCATCCATCTTCACTGTCAATTCAAGGGTCTTCATCCTCACTTTCACCTTCATTTCAGCTTTTTGGTGTTATACCTGAGTGTTTGAGTCTGCAGTATTAATAAAATCTTGCTGTTTTGAATTTCGTAACTGTTTTTGGTTTAAACAAATACAGGAGCAGTACATATTTATCCATGATGCCATCCTGGAAGCTTGTTTATGTGGAGAGACAGCAATACCAGTCTGTGAGTTCAAAGCAGCATATTATGAGCTGATCCGCATCGACTCCCAGACCAACTCGTCCCACCTGAAGGATGAGTTCCAGGTAAAATGGGTTCTTTTTGACTTTTAATAATAGTCCTTTCAAGTTTTGAAATGTTTGAAACACAAGGTTGATATGTTTTTTAGAGGATTGGTAATCCTATTTATGCCATCCTCTCTGTTATTTAAGCACTGCTGACCCTGATTGTTTTGGACTGCCTCTGCATTTTTTCATGTTTTACCAGGAAACACCTGCATATTAAAACATTTTTAGCTATTACATTCTTTGGGATAAACCACATTTCCCTTAAAAAACATTGCTAAATGGAAAGCAGAACTGAAAAGTGTATAGTTGACCTTCAAAAGTGAATTACCAAACTTAAATCTATTCTGGGGAAGATTGGCAAACCTAAATGCCAAACTATAACCAGTAAAGTATGATTTCATGTTAAATTGTAACCTACCAAAAGCATAGTTGTATCTAAGTAAAATAATACAAGCTGTATTTAAATGTGTGATAATCCCTTTAGACCTTAAATTAACATTTAAAGAAATGGCAGTCAAATTATCTGTTTATTACTATTATCTGTTTAAGAGCTCTATTATTTGGAAGATAATAGTAATGTTAATGAGTACCAGGAAGTATAAGCAGTTTGCCGAATGACAGAAAGCGGAAGACGCAAATGTGTGTAAATGATGACATTTACCTGCTAGGGTGCAAAAGGCAACATATACCAAGAGACCCAGAGATGCTTTTCTTTTGTACGTAAAATTGTTTGCATTAATTGTAAAACGGATAGAGCTATAAATAGAGATATTAAAGTCACATCTTTTAAAGGCTCCAAACAAGTCAAAACTAAAGAAGTTTATCCCTCAAAATGCAATCAAAGCTGTAATTTCTATTGATGCAAATGCATGTCTTTCATGCTCCAGTCAAAGTGTTTGGCAACTTTTACAAATCGCTGTTTACATGCAATCTAAATTAGTCTCCTTTCCTTTCAACTGGTGGTTTCTAGCAGTGTTGCTCTCAGAGGCCTGAATACAAATGCTTATGTTTGTGTTTATTTTTTACAAATGGCAAAGAAAAAATGTTTTAAAGTTTGTGGTTTTAACAGGATAAGATTTGAAGAATTTGAAAACATGAAAATTCTCCTAAAAATTGATTATAAAGTCATTACTGTTTACATGTCAAGATGAATTTACATACTGTATCTCAGTAACAAATTAGAAAAAAGAAAAAAGATGGATCCCATTGGCTTGCTTAGAGCACATCTAAAACTCAAAAGCTCCACATTAAAAATTTGAAATTAACTGCACCTCAACAATGTGAACTTTGTTTAAATTCATATTTTTTCTCTTTTCCCAGACATTAAACTCAGTGACTCCCCAGCCTCAGCCAGAAGACTGCAGCATTGCACTGTTGCCTAGAAACCAAGATAAGAACCGCTTTATGGATGGCCTTCCTCCTGATAGATGCCTGCCCTTTCTCATCACAATAGATGGAGAAAGCAGCAATTACATCAATGCTGCTTTGATGGATGTAAGTTGATTTCTTATTAAATTCACATACAGTACAAGAAGGTTGTGTTATTTTCAACTAATGTTACAGTAGTAGTTTGGGACATGGTGTGTTCTCCTCAGTAGACATGGTTTTGTATTAAAAAAAAATGAGTAGATGTGTTGCTTTAAACACGATTCATAGTAATTCTGTAAAACCTAAAAAAGGAATCTGTTTTTTGTCCCAAACTGCAGTCATTTTCTGTTGAAAATGATACAGACTTTTAAAGTATTACACAGCTGATTTAAAAACAGAAAACCTTCGTATATATTTTCTACAGACATTCACACACAGACTCCCCCCTCCTGTTCGTGTGATGCTGTGTTTGTGGTTTTAGTAGAAGGCTAGAGACAAATCCAGGTTCTAAAAAGACCAACCACTAGCTTCTCTGGCCACCACCCAAACATTGCTTGCTCTGGCAACTATTGACACAGCTGTTCCCCATGCACCATCAACCGATATACAAAATCATTGCTCCTATATTACTAGGTAACAAGAAAAAAACTTTATGGAGAATTGGTCAATGCTGTGCTTTAAATTTTAGTCAGACAAGGTAAAATCACCGGCATCAATAAATGAATGTACTACTATCTATTAAATTTCAGTTTATTAATTGACTTTTAACAGAAAATCAAACATAGAAGACAGTAAGACAGTCTTCTTAACTAAACTCTGATTTATATGTAACTTGACTTCAGCTTTATAATGCTTTAGTCACTTGATCATTACTTACAGTTTACTGTGTAAGCCGTTGGTAGGTGGTGGCCTTTAATAGAAATGTAACCTAATAGTAATTACCCACCAAAATTCTCTGTTGTTACATAGTAACATACAATTGTAATAAATACATGCAGGTAATTACTTAATCAATTTTGGGGTAATTACCAAATAAAGTTTTTCTTGTTACCAAGTAATATAGTGTGACTTGCTATGTTATTACCATGTTATTACATGGTTGTTGATGTACTGTAAAAGAAAGTGTTACCCAAATTACACAGTAAGGGGTGGGCTGTAGGTATGTCATTATTTATTTATTTTTTTTATATATATATTAGGAAATAGAATGTTTTTGGCTTTGTGGCTTTTCTCCAGCAAAAGCTGTTGGAAGACAAAATGCTGCAGTCAGTGTAAAAATAATGAAAATCAAATGAGTTTCAGTTGTTTATCTTTATTTAGTCACTTACCTCTGGCCTCTCTCTAACCAAGCTGTCAGAAGAGTTCCAGGTAACAGGAAAGACTCTAAATCTCCAATACTGGATTTGTTTCATGGCTTCAGTGTTGTTCAGCGACAAGTCTCATGTTTTAGTCACAGACCTCATTGTGACAGTAGGATTCCATCATTATCATGAGTTCCTTTACAGCAAAGTCATTCACGCCTCTGTCCAATGTGTAATCGCTCATTTCCATTCAAAATGTGCGCTCATTTAAATTTCAGTTCAGTGCCTTCATTATGCCAGTGTTTTTCTTTTATGCCATAACTAGCTAGATATTTATGCATGCTCCTTACCTTCTCAGTTAAAACCCATTGCATGATCCATGCTTCCCCTTTGGTCTGATGCTCCTCCTGTTTTATCCCACAAACTGTGCCAATACATTAATCTGTCCGTGTGTAAAAGAGAGAACAGCTTAGATATTGATAGATGTCTAATCTTTTCTTCTTTTTGTAAAAGAAAATCTCAAGTAATTTGTTTTTTTATCTCACCTGCAGAGCTACCGACAGCCAGCTGCATTCATTGTTACCCAGCATCCTTTGCCCAATACTGTTAAAGACTTTTGGCGACTAGTTTATGACTATGGATGTACCAGTCTGGTGATGCTGAACGAGATCGACTTGGCTCAGGTAATCCACTTTGATACATAGTTTAATTTTTTTTAATAAAAATACTTAAAGTGAGTATAAAAACGTTCAACTGCATACACAATATAAATAATAAAGAAAAAAAAAAAAATAATGTAGAATAAAAGCATATTCTTAAGGAGGAGAGGGGAATCTGAATCTATTCCCCAAGGCTTCATAGACTCTCTACCGCTTCGTATTGAATTCAGTTAGGAATCAGATGTTTTCCTATTAATGATTTTGCTATAGATAAATTATAACTAATACACAGAAGTACTATTTTTTGTCCCTTTTTGTTTTGCAGTTTAAGAGCAATTAAAAATGAATATGATGAACCAAAATTAATATATTTATTTATGAACCACCTTTAAAAATGGTGTTTCTCAAGGAACATTTTTAATAATGCAGAGCAGGCATCAAAATATTTTAACCAAGATTTACAAGTTTTCTTGTTTTGTTTTGTTGTGTAACTGTATTTGCAAAGGATTTAGTCATTTTAACTAAAATATTATTTTTTACATTTATGTCATCTTATAGGGTTGTCCTCAGTACTGGCCAGAAGAGGGCATGCTGCGTTATGGTCCAGTCCAGGTAGAGTGCATGTCCTGCTCGATGGACTGCGATGTCATTAGCAGACTCTTCAGAGTCTGTAACCTAACCAGGGTTAGTATGCCAATTCATATTAACTGGCCTCAATATTTATGCAAAACTCAACAAAAAATGTGGCTATCTGCATATTGACCTCAATCTGTGACTGTCTTTTTTTGAAAACGTATCAGCCTCAGGAAGGATACCTAATGGTTCGCCAGTTCCAGTACCTAGGTTGGGCAGGACACAGAGAGATCCCAGCATCCAAACGCTCCTTCCTGAAATTGATACTTCAGGTCGACCAGTGGCAGCGAGAGGGGGAGGAGGGAGAGGGAAGAACCGTTGTTCATTGTCTGTAAGTTAACTGCATATACAATTTAGATATTTTTACAAAAGGCCTTATAAGTGTGTTAAATATAAAATTTAAAGATTGAAATATTACGAAATGTCATGTTAAGTGGAAAAGTCATTATCGCGCCTTGATTTCTTTTAACAATTAGTAATCAGTCCTAGATTCCTGATGCCTACACCACAATAAAAGGATCCTAAGTACCAGCTAAAATAGTTTGTGCGTTTTGTGACCCTGGTCTGCATTATCTCCTTTGTTTTTCTAGAAATGGAGGCGGGCGCAGTGGAGTGTTTTGTGCCAGTAGCATTGTGTGTGAGATGGCTAAGAGGCAGAATGTGGTGGATGTTTTCCATGCAGTCAAGACTCTGAGGAACAGCAAGCCCAACATGGTGGATACTCCAGTGAGTTGCTCTTAAATCACTATCTTCCACTCTGACACAAACAAACAGTTGCTAATGAAACACAAGAAAATGGCAGATAGGTTCATTGTAAAATAAATGTTGCCTTAATGCATTGTATTATTAATTTCTTTAATTTAACCAAATTAGCTGTTGATCATACATCCAGTTTTTTACTTGTGTATAAAAATCAGGTCCAAAGACACTCTTTATATTATTCCCGTTTAACATCCTTTAAGATTCTACCATTTGGAGGAAAATTCTCACTTCCATACTGCTGTAATATAAAAATGTAATATTTTACTGAGGTTTTTGATAAAAACATATCTGTACATATTATAAGTTTAGAGAATATTTGTCTTTGTTTTTCCACAGGAACAATATCGGTTTTGTTACGACCTGGCTCTCGAGTTCATTGAATCATCTTAAGCAGAGCAAAGAAGATGAGATGGAAGTGAAGGTCTTCTGCTCTCTCTTTGGGCTTGATCCTTTGCCTTCGCTTGGCCCCGATTCCCCTCTGTCTTGTTCTGTAGCATCAATTTTTTGGCTCAACAAATGGTGCAATTAAAGTCAGCTCTGTGTACAGTGTTGCTACAGCAAGGGAAACCTTGACCTCTAAGGAAGAGTGAGGTGAAGAGGACTGCAGCAAGAAAGAAGATGTTTTGCTTTTAATTCTTAATGCTTATTGTACAGCTTCTTTGAGTGCCAGCAGGCTCATGTATGTGTTTGAGCCCAAACCTAAATGTCAAGCCTCTCGCCACAACCCCTTCGCACAGACTCGGATGCTAGTGTTGTTTTAACACCTGCAGCTCTCAGTGTGAACTCTAGATGTCTCTGTTCCTTTAGCAAGCTGTACTGTCCAACTGCACGTTAAAGTGGCGCCACATTCCCATTTTAATGCTGATTTCTAAGTATTTCATCAGTGTTCAGTGTCTCATCATGGTGATGTTTTGAGTCAGTAATTTTGTACAAGCATGTTACAGCTAAGCAAAACTCTATGGATGCTTTTTGCTTATTTCTAAGGCACTGTTATGTTATTGTCACGTCATAGTAAATTCTGTGGTTTAACATCATGATCTTTTAGCAATTTTGTTCCCGTTTTAAATCAGTTACATATAACTGTTTGACAACAGAATACGGATGAAGACAATTACCTTTGTATTAATAGAAGTTTACAAGATTGTTTGTTTTTTGTTTTCTTATCATGTTCTAATCTACTTAGTATGAGAGCTGAAGTATTTTTTTTGTACACCAAATTGTAAAATAAACCACTTTTCATCACAGTTATGTTTGTTTTAGGGCTGGGCCCAATGCATTTTCAATCCATCCAGTTCACAAACTGAACTTAACTATAGAAAAACATCTAAAAAGAATTGAATAATCTAGAAATAATAATCTCTTTCAGAAAACAGATGTATAGTTTTGTTTTTCTTTAGGGCCTGGAATGAATTGAAAGGGAACAGAGCCCAGGCTTCACTTGTTCTGTGCACTGGTGGCTTTTAAACACTTTTTGTTTTAATTCTATTATTTTTGTAGCTGATGTTTATTCATAAGCCAAAGACTTAGTGTAAATATGTCTATATGGATAAAGCACATTGTTTGTATTTATTGTTTGTTTATTGCATCGCTTGTAAGAACAATCACTTTTCATTCCATGTTTACTCCACCACCAGCGTTTCTTAAACTTCTTATGAGCATGCTAAATGGACTCCATGTAGAATCATGGGAGTAATGGTTGGAATACTTGAGCCTGCAGTGGTTTGCTATGTCAGAAATGAAACCTGCTCAGTTTGAGTCCATTAAAAAAAAAACCTGATCGAAGCTGTATATTAAAGCTTTAGAAGTAGTCCTCAGTATTTAGGTGGAATCTAGTAGTCTTGTCTTTGTTTTCTTTTTTAAAATCTTTGTAAAATTACTGTTTTGTTTTTCTTCTGTGTAAAAGCCCAGTTTTTGGTTCTTGGTCAGTAAAATATTGGTGCATTTTTTATGTGCAAAGTATTTTTGGTAAATGGCTTGTATCCCCTCTTAACGTCTTAAGTCGGGATAAGCTGTTTATCTACATCCGCATATCCTGTTTATTTATCCCTGGATAGAGGGATGTAAACAGGCTTAGTTGACAAAACAAGGAGATGTAATACATATACATTTGTTGTGCCTAAACATTTGAATTTCCACATTGAAACAAGCATTTTTAACCATTGGCCTTGAGCAGGGCTTTGTTCAACCCTTTATTATAGATGCTCAATGTATTCAGTTCTTGAACCATTATTCATTGTGTTTAATCCATTAAAATGCTTCTTTTGAGGCGTTTCCAGCTGACCTATTATAAGATATGTCTGTATGTACACAGACTAAAACAAAAAGAAACTTTATTGTAAATAAAATATCAGATGTTCAGCTCTGTTATTAAAAATAGACTATCATGAGTGCTCTATTGTATAAACAATAGAGATAGGAATGGTGGACTCAATTCAAGACATTTGTTTTGTTGTAGATTAAAAAAAAATCACAGGTTGTATTTCTGGAATATTTCAACCCACAACAGGTGGCGTTTCAATACTATAGTTTTCACTGAAGTAGCTTATTCTGTTGTTGGAACATTACATTTATTTTTTTTCCACAGATTTTGATCTGACCCAAAGGAGTTGTATAAAATTTAAAGGCATATTGATTCAGAATGCTTTCAGTTGGTGTTTTCAGAAAGTATAAAGCTTAATCGTTAGTTATTGGAAAACAGAAAAAATGTTGGATGCAGTTTTTTTTTTTATAAAGTTGTTCCTCTAAAGAGCAGAGAAAGAAGCTGATGTCTGGATGTACGGCCAGTCTACGTATGACGTCAATATTCATGGTTTATATTATTCTTGTCTGTAATGTTTGGCTTCTTTGCTGTAATAGAAAAACAGTTCTTTGACTAAAACCTTTTGGTTCACAGGGTCTCAGTATTCTCTTCTATTTTTCTAATTTCTAAATCTCAAGAAGACTTTCACAGCAGATGGGTTTTGAGACTAAAACAATGAAAACACTACGGGTTTATCCTGAAGCTGGTGTACTTATAAGACACTAAACTACATCACCTATGAACAGCATTCTGCTAAACTCACAAAATAGCAGGGTATTCAAATACTTATTTTCCTCACCTTTAAATGTATGGCATAAAAATTCTGAACTAGCTATTATTACTTCACCATTTTGCGATTGTTTTGCCCTTTTTGCGGATCAGTCTAGAATAAAATACATAAAAAAATGTATTTGTATGGTAACAAAATGCTGAAAAGTTGAAGTTATACTTTTCAAATGGATATGTGGTATTATTTATGTTAAAAATTCACCCCAAAGTAGATAAAATCCCATAGGACTCACATAGTGGAACAATTCAATCACCAACCAACTCCTGGTTTGCCAGACAGCTTAAAAAAGTGACAAAGAGTACTGTTTTCTTTAAAAAGTTTAATTTGCATAATTATTTACAACATATGATTGATAGAGGCAAAATATAGTAAGTCACATTCATAAAGCAAGAAAAAAGATACCTTAAAAATATTTGGACAACTCCAGAACTTGCATTTAGAAAAGAAAATTTACATTTATTTTGTAGATAACAAATCTAGAAATCAAATTGTCATCCTAAAGTAATCTTGCAAACACAAACTGATCCGTAAACTGCTGTAATACCGACCAGCAATGAACCACTAATTAATACAATCAATTTACTATCCTGCATGCTATTATAAAATGTTGACAAAGGAACGTGAAACAACCAAACTAGGGTCAAGAGCAGAAAATAGTTTTAAATAAATTAGGGCTATATTATATATTTATATATGTATATCTCTGTACAAATACTTGATATTTGGCATTATTTTTGTCATCCTTATTGATATATTTAACAATTTCAAAATAGGATTAAGCTAACCACAAACCGGTATATGCTATCGGATGATTCTTGAGTCACTTCAAAAAGCGATGAGAGGCATTTTAGAAATTTCTACCCACAGCCACAACACATTTCTCCACCAACGGCAAACGAAACTGTGACTGCTCTATCTCTTCATAAAACACTGAAAATTATTTTTTTCTTTGCTGTTTTGCATTTATACACAACAATATATAGATGCAACTTAAACTATGTGAAATTCTGGCAGACCTGTTAAAATATGACCAATATAACCTCTCAGAGTCAGTGCTGGATTTGAACATTTACTCAGGCCCATTACCCATATGGACCCTGAAGCTGCAACCCAAAACCAACAAATAAAATAAAATGACTTACATTGAAAAACTGTTAGAGGTTCATCTAAATCCTGGCTATAAGAATAGTTTGTCATTTTAGAGTGTTGAACTTTGACACATCTTAATGTCTTGTGCAGGAAATTGGATGTTAGCACCTCTCCTAGTTTAGCACAATGACTTTGAGCTGGCAAAATAACTAGCCCTTTCAAAAGATGTGAATGTAGAGCTTTGATTAAAAGTTTATATAAATGTGAGCCCTTCCTTTCTCCAGAGCTTAATTAATATGCAATAAGTAAATGTTAAAAAACGAGAAGTGGGGGGTATATGTAGGGACTGATTTTTAAAAGTTAATTTTATAACAGCACCAATATTTAGCAAAAATTGAATTTAGAATATTGCAAAACAATAGTGGAGTTATTTAGGCAGAGGACAACCTTTAAATTCCTACATTTTTACATTGAAATAACTGCTAGCTGGTTGATGGTTGGACACAGATGATTGTTCAAACAGGACAATTATTGCATACACAAATCTGAGCTGGTTTTGGCAAATATGACTGGCTTAATTACTAATTTCATTAATCTGTCAAATTCTGCCCGGTTTCTCATTACTGCTCATCTGATCCATCTGGTTCTGTGTCTGTTTAAACTGCTTGTCCCCATTCATCAGTGCCAGATTATTCGAGCCTTTGGTGAGAGTTCTCTAGCGTACCCTGTGTGCTGTTCTTCTTGTCTGATCCTGACTGGTTTCTGCCTGATTTCATTTGGACCTCTAAGCCTACCTGCCCCTGTTGTAGTCTGTTTTCCTGCCCTGTCTTTGGACTCTTGCTGGATTCTGCCTGCTTACGACCCTGGATATGTCTCCTGACCCCGACTTGGATTTCCCTTCGGCACCTCTTCGTATCTCTGATCTTTTGGTCTTGACTTCTGTTTACCTCATCGACACTTGCTTTGGCTTCGCCTTCTGGAAACTCTGTTTTTTCCTTGTCTGCTTGCTTCTGCTTGTCAGCCAGTTGAGCAGCCTTCTTGGCCGCGCTGTGGGAAGTCATCCGGCTTGATTCCACTGGGCTCTGACTGAACTTTAAAACCAGGTTAGTGACTTACACACCTGCAATCGTCCTCCGTCAGATTTATGTGGTCACTAACCTGAGTTTTTCCCTTTACAGAGATTCTTTTTGCATTACTGCTGAGTCGCAGATTCGACGTGTTGTCAGTAAACACTTTTGTACATTACATCAGTCTGTCTGCCTGATATTCTCGGTCCAAAGTTCTGGTTCTGACAGGTTTATGAATGGATAAAGCGGACAACCTTATGTGTGTGGAGTAGCCATATTAAAAAGCTTGGTCTCTGCAAGAAAAATAAACAACATCTAATTATTCCTATTATTTCGAACTGGACTGACCAAAGATCCAGCTAGAAGTACATGAGATGTCTTTGATAGCTGCGAAACATTTGGTTTGTATGTCACTTACTCAGTGTAGCAACCCACTTGTGTGTTATGCTAGTTGTATATGCATTGGGACTTGGGTATGCATAATTCCTTGTTGAATTATAACAATGAATTATCAAAATCTAAAAGTAATATGACATCAAAATTATGGTGAGTTTAGGTGAGTATTTGACTGGTTGTTTTATCAAATTGTGCTCCAAGTATTGGTTTTATGTATGGATAGTTGCTATGTAGAAAGGTATTGGTTGGGAAGAAATGGAGTGACTAGGAATTTGGGAACCTGCTGGCTAACAACATACTGAGTTTGTAGGACTATCTCGAACTCATATGTTGACACTGAAAATTTTAATCCAGCTAAAAGAACTTTGAAAAACACAAGCTTTGAAGAGTTGAACAATAGTTAATTCAATAAATGAGCTATGCTCAATAAAAGTATTATGTACAAAAAAAGTTTTTTCTAAACAAAACAGTTAAATAGGCATTCAACCTCTTATGACAAACTATTCTTTAAGCGGGCAAAGAAATCATCTAACATTTCACTTGTTTCAGAAGTCAACATAAAAAATGTAACACAAAACAATGTATACATGAGGGTTATTGCTTAAAAGGCAGATCATATTCATATTCATTTGCTCGGAAATAAATGAAGCCATTATTTAAAATATAAAATGTGAAAAACAAAAATCCTCGGCGTCAAGAGCAGAAACTAAACTAGATAGTTGAGTAAATATCACTTGACAGTAGTGTACGTGCACTTGATGGATGTGGTGGTACCAGTTAGTCAACTATTAACAGAAAAATAAACAAAAAAACAAATTAACCAAATATGACACAGTAATATTGTTTTTCAGCACCTAGAGTTCTGAGGTTCAGCTTCACTTAAATGATCTAAAATGTAGTGAGTACTATACATAAAACAGGGAAAACTCTTGAAATATCTGTTCTAGTGAATAATTAAACATCAAGGTAAGTTAGTAAAATTTTTAAAATTGTATGTGTATAAACTAAATACTTGCTGGCAGATTGACTTCATCACATTCTGATGAAAAGAAGAGCTATTCTCTGTTCTTATGCAGTCATCAGAATGTAAATGGTACCTTTAGTGGTCTCTTGAACCAGACTCAATCTCCACAAGGGCCTGCAACCTCAGCCACCTTGCAGAGATACTGCTGCATAGTACGCAGGCATGAAAAAGTGTCCATATGAGCTTTAAATTTTTTCAAATAACATATTCTCTCTCCACCATGAGGTAAATAGCTATAGACCAACCTGTCTATCATTGTAATAAAATACTATTGCACTTTTTTCAGCTGGTCCAGCACCCAACTCTAGCATGCATGAGAATTTCAAAATGGGCAAATAAAAGATGACAATAAAGACATCTATACAGGAAAAATATATTCTGTGATAATCAAGCTATATTTTATTCATTTTTTTAAAGTGATATCAGTAGAAGTATTTTGAATCATAGAACATCCATTAGAATCTGAACCAAATATAACCAGAATAAATGACAGCGAATTCCGCTTTGATGTCCTTTAGACTGTATTGTGCTAAAGCTTATCAAAACAGGACAACCAAAGCAGGCAAATATAAATGTTATTCCACTTGTAACTCTGTGATCCGACCTAGCATAGTTTCCAGCCCTTTATGAAGGTACAAACTCTAAAAGGTGTTGCAGTCCTTTCACAAGCCTGAAACCAAATCATTCGCTCAGTCCCAAGAGAATCAAACTGTAAGGCACCTGAGGATTTATCATGTACATAGTTGCCAAACTTCTAAGCCCCATATAAAATGGTTGGGAGAATGAGAGAAACATGATGAACACTTACAGCAATTCAAAGATAGTGATACAAAAATGGCACCACTATATTATAACATCCCTGCAAGATACTAAAAAACGCTGTGTGTGATTTCTGATATTGTCATTGTGTATCTTATAACTCTTACAATGCATTACTGTAGGCGTTGTCACTCTAACTTCTAAGAGCATCCAGGTGTCAGGACTTCAGTCCTACTGTAAAAACAGCTCCATCAACTTTAAGATAATTACCTTCCCTTTGCTTCTCAGTGCCACCTCTTTGAAACTACCAGAAGACAGTCTTGCTATGGAGGAAAGGTTGCGACAGATTTGATTGATTTAAACTAAAAGTCCAGACAACATAAACTTGAAATGAATGCTGCCAAAAGCTCAGTTTAATCCTAATTTGATTTTAAAACCCACACTGATGACAACA